ATATAGTTTTTAACAATAATAAAACAACAATAATAAATAAATTTAATTAATTTTAATTTTAATAAACTGAACGAGAAATAATCTTTTGAAACAATATATATTGAACAATATAAATCGAACATATAAACTTTTTTTTTTTAACTGGCAATAAAAAGAGAAAATAAAATTTGTTGTAACTTTATATTGGACGCTCAAGTTTACTGAAATATCATAACCTTTGCAATACTATCATACTTGAGCGTTCTACATTATTATTTTGGTGCTCCAACAGTTATTTTCAGATCTGTATCTGACCTAATTTTTACATACTTCAGCAAAACCGTTCTTTCCGTGTTCGAAATTTACCTTTCGCATCGAACTGCGAAATACAGTGATGTTGGCAGCAAAATACATGACCTCATACTCTTACTATACAATTTTTCGAATTCCAACGTCGCGTCGTGTTATATTAGATGCTGAAATGTTTTCATCGCGCTACGTTTCGACAACACGAATTGTTTGGGTTCCAACGTGACCAAGTTTAGATTCATATAACAAAATCATATATTATTACATGCTATATATATTCTATATATGTTATATTCTATATATATTATATTTCTAATATAATAATGTCATAAGCGAAGAAAAGAAATTTCTTCAAAATTATATTTAGTACGCTTCTGTAATGTTTCATCAGATTTGGTCTGTCGGTAGAAATTATACGATTTTGATTTCTTTTGTGAATTAATTATGTATAGATCTCTTGAGATTCTTTCGAACGAAAGATAGAGAAACGATTAGCGATTGGATTGCTCCTCCAATTCTCTTACGTCCGAAGGGTTGTCTTGTCTATGGCGTGTCGTGGAGTGTTTCGACGAGGCCGTGTCCCTGAGGTGAGACTCCGAGCACGCATGCTCCGACTCCGTGCATTTTATATTCATATATATTTAGCTACTGGCCGAGGGTTGTGTACGGTCTGACGTGGCCGACATCGTGGTAAACTCTCCCCGACGACGCGACGACGCGACGTAGCGTGTCGTGCGCTCGATGCGCGCGGTCGCATGCGTTCACGTAAGAATTTAACGCGTAATTCACTCTCGGACGATCGCGAAAGCGAAATTCGCAGGGACGACTGATTTCGCATCCAATTTACGCTACTTGCGCTACGCTATTATTGCATCTCGCTGCATTAAAGAATGCACGATTCATCCATCACGGTCACGCTGCTTTCATTTTGCAACTCATCTATCCTGTTAAGAATGTCCCATTAAAAATGAACGACTGCTGATTTCATTATTGCACTTTTTTTTCCCTCCTTCTCGATCAGCTGCATGGAATTATTTTATATAGGAATTATTTTCGAAGAAAAAAGAAATATCAGCGAGAAACATATTACCACTATATATAATTATTATGGCTCCATTATTTAATTCTATTTTTATATAAATATAGTTTATTGCTATACAAAAAGAACGGTTATGCTAAAATGTCTAAAAATTTACCTACATTGGAAAAAAATTTACTGAATTTTATTAAATATTTGTTTGAATAACACTAACGAAATTTATTTACAGCAAATGAACAATTATACATAAATTAAATAAATGTATAATATGTTTACATTTAATTTAGTAAATATTATTAGTACTGTTCAAGTAAGTATTTAATAAAATTCAGTAAATTTTATTTCAGTGTAGACCTGAAAATAATTTTGTTGCATCAAATATGTGGAACATATAAATATTGATGACAAGAAGTTTTAACTCTAATCGTTTAAGCATTCTACATAATCATTGATGGTCCAGATAAAATTATTTTCAGATCTGTCTGTTAAATTATTTATCTATCTAAATGAATCTGTAGAGACTTCAGCAAAATCGTTCTTTTCGTGTATGCATGTAATTAT